TGGCTCCCTGGTTTTATTTGCTCAGGCGGTGACAGCTCGTAATCACCATTGTGCCAAGGCTTAGGGAGCAGCCGCCCAAGATGTGGTCGAGCCAAGGGTCATGAAGGAGGAACCCCCGCCCCGATTTCCCTTTAATTCAGCCAAAGGATGAACTCAAACCTTTAACAATGAAGATGACACACCATTGAGATTCTGTATTCTGGGTCCAGGGCATTCCTTTCATAAAACCAGTTCCACTGTGTCTTTCCAGCGCTTTCCCCTCTGTGTCAGCCCTCTTCTCTGCATTGAACTATTCAGTCTCAAAGATGAAAAGTGTGATTAGCTCTGGGCAGTGGGAACAGGCGCAAAGTGTTTTCCTCAGGAACCTCATGACTCAGAGTTATCTGCACCGAAATGGGGGGCGGGGCGGGGGACAGATAGAGCCTGGGGGATGGAGCTGCCCTCCCCACACGTGCATCCTGGGAGGTTCCCCGCAGGCCAGGCACCACAGCCGCCCTGCACCCTCTGTGGGCTGCCCTTGACTGTTGTGGGTCAAGGGTACCAGCTGGAGATCGGGCCTGGGTGAGCAAGGAAGCAGGGAGTGAAAGGCTGTCCCCTCCCTGAGCCCCCGAAGGCTCCAGGGCAAGGCTGTGCCTGACAGAGGGGCTGGCTCTTCCCCCTACTGCAATGTCCCCATCCATGTCCCAACCTGAGGCAAGCCAGAGGGCGTACTAGCAGCACTTCCCCTAAATGCCAGTGAATTGGGAGGTGTGTATTTTAGATGCTGAAGTCAAACATATTCTTCATTCAATTTAAGATTATTTTCTAAACATAGTTTTGTTTTGTTTTTAAGCTTTAAGCATTTTGTTAATCCGCTAAATGGGAAGATAGGGTCACAATATATAAAGAACATGTCAGGACCGTTGGCCCTCAACCCCGACTGTCCTAGGAACCGCGCCCTCGAAGCATCGCCTCCCTGCCGCACGGCACAGCCTCCTCCGAGGCCGCGTCTGAACCTGGAGTCCCTCTCCCTCCAGCCCTCTCCCTGCCCCTGCTGCTCACCCTGGAGTTGGGCCAGAACCAAAAATAAGCACTTGGGTAAAACTTTTTCAGGTTCTGTCTAACCCATGAAGCAGCAACAGTCTGGCCGTGGTTTAGCTATGGGGGATGCATGTTTCAAAATGCACATCCCACATCACTGTTCATTACACAGAGTACCGTGGACACATGTCACTTTCCTTAAGAACTCAGGCTCATTGTTGGAGCCTCCAAGATGGTATTAGGCCGTAATGCCACGGTTCCCGTGGGCGCGGGTGCGGCTGTGTGCCCCCCTCTGCTGTGGCCGCCCGGTCACGTCTCAGCATGTTCCTGGTTGGCCTCGCTCTCGGCAGCCAGGAGCCAGCGTGGGCCTCATCCCCAGGGGGATGTCACTGCTCAGCTGATGGTCACGCACCCTCCTCTGCTCTGAAATTAGGATTTCAAAGAATGAGCTTCTTAGGATACAACATTTTTTTTTCAAAAGTGGTGAAAAACAGAACTGAATACATCCCAGTCATCCATCAAATAACTTTTTGTTCCAATTTTTTTAAACCCAGAAACTGTGTGCTCCGGGGAGCATCAAAAATCTGTTTTGTTTTCATGTTTTCTGGTCCAGAATCTAAGTTCAACTCTACTGAGGACAGTTTGGATGATCCTGGCACTCGGGGCCCCTCCCCAGGGGTTCACAGTCAGACTGCACTTGAGGGTGGAGACCCGGAGGGGTCGGGCAGAAAATGGAAGTTGCTTTCTGTCAAGTTTAAGGCACGAGCCAGGGGACAGTCTAGTCGACAGCATGGGATCTCTGTGGAAATTTTCATCTCAAGTGCTACCCAAGTGCTGCTCGGCACATGTTACTTTTCATAATTAACCTCTTAGCCACGAAAAGGAAGTCTGTTCCCACAGTGAGCACTTCCATGGTCAGCAGCCTGAGGGAGACGCTCCCCGTGTTCGGCAGCCGGTGGAGGCTTCCCTTTGACTTGAAGGTCCCCCAGGAGAGCAGACGGTTGGTCCCTTCTCGGACATTCCGGGGAGGATGGATTTCAGGCCCCCGGGAAGTCCTGCTCTCTCAAATCAATAAAAGAAAAAAATAGACTGAGAACAGCTTTACGGTCAGTCACCACAGCAGAACCTCATCCAACAGATCATGCCCCAGAGTAGGGCTGTTCCGGCTCCCAGGACCCCTAAGGCGGGACCCCGGGATCATACCGGGGGTCCCATCACAAAGCACGGCCTAGGACAGGGGGAAGGAGGTGTCCCTTGGCGTCATGATACTTACTCCACAGTGAAAAGAGAATTAGGCACTCGGGTCTACAGGTGTGAGGGCCAGGAGGCGGAAGTCGATCCCTTTTAAAAGCAGGGCGTGGGAATGCTACACAGGTTCGTTTCGTTGCCTGTTTAGCCCAGGTACCCACAGGCTGCCTGGGAACCCGGACTCTGGGTGCTGCCTGGGGCTCCGTGAGTCAGCCAGCATCGCGGGCTTCCTGGGCTGACGCTATGACCTGTGATTTTCCAGGTGTGAGCCCGACGAGGAGCCGTGATGGGGAAGAAGCTGGACCTTTCCAAGCTCACGGATGAAGAGGCCAGGCACGTCTGGGAAGTGGTGCAGCGGGACTTTGAGCTGAGGCGGAGAGAAGAGGAGAGACTGGAGTAAGTGCGTGGGGCTGAGCCCGCGGAGCCCGAGTCCGCCACACCCCGGGCTCAGGGGGTGGGTGAGCAGCATCGACGGAAGCCAGGTGCTGGGAAACGCTCCTGCTGGCCTCGGTTTCCTCATACTTAAAACGAGGGCCCTGACTCCGCAGCCTGACTTTGAGGTGTGCCTTACGCAGTTTTATTTCAGCTTGATCCAGCTTCCAGGGTAACGTTGTCCCCAAACTGGGTGATGCGGGGGCCACCACAGTGCAAGAACGAACAGTGACAAAGGGGTAATGACTGGATCCATTCTGAAACACCCAAATGTTGCGATGGAGGGGTTGGCGATCGAGGCTGACTTTCCACCTTCCTTTCTGATCGCGTTGGTGGCCCCCATCCAACTGAGCGAAAGCCCACAAGCATTATTAACGCCCTCCTACCTTGCATGTTCCTCCCAACCTCTAACGCTTGGCTTCCACTGAGCTCCTTGTTATCTCCTCTGGGTATTTTGGGGGGTTGGTAGGCCTACTGAGAAGGAGACATTTGAGCAAAGACTCGAGGAGGTGAGGGAGTAGCCAAAAGAATGCCTACAAGGGCTCCAGGCAGCGCAGGGAGAGGAGCTCGTGGTGGCATCACGTGGGCTCCATGGACCTTTATAGGGCCTGGGTCTTTCTCTCAGGCCTCTGCTGACCTGGAGGCCTGTGAGCAGGGGACTAGCGGGACCAGACCTCCGCTCTACAGGCTGTGTGTTACTGAGCCACAGTCACTTGTATTTTGAAGGGAGAGCCAGCAAATTTGCCTTAGATTGGATGTGGGGTGGAGAATATGGGAGGAGTCCAAGGTAACGCCAAGGTCATGGCCTGCGGCACTGAGAGGATGGAGTTGTCTCCTCACCTGGGGAAGGCACCTTTAGACCAGGTCTGGGGGGAAGCAGGAAACAGAGCACAGCAATTAGGGGGGGAATTGTGAAACCAAGAAGCAAACATGCTCATTCCTTAGAGATCACTTCCCTGTCCGGTGTCTATAGACACAGCATGTGGGCTCAAGGTCAGCTCACCAAGAGCAAATTGGCCAAAAGGCAACTTGCTAAGCAGACAACTCACCAAATTTACCAACTGAAAACAATCGAAGAACAAAAGAAGTGTTTCCTTTTATATTTACGGAGTTAACAGAAATGAGTATTAGGTGGGTTTCTCTCCTAATAGGAGCGTCGGTCCCCTGGAAAGGATGTTGGGCAGGTTTGGGAAAGACCCGGCACCTCCCCTGCAGGGTCAGACCAACAGACCTCCCGGCACTGACAAATGAGCTTGCCCAGGTCCCTGATATTGGCAAGGATAGAAGGCCATGGGGCTGTGAGACCAGTTTTACCAACCCCTGTATGACCAGACTATTCCCAAGACACAAAGCCTCCAACCCCTGGGCCAGGCCTCAGGCTCCCCAGGCTGTGCCAAACACGTTCAAAGTCCCCCTGGGGACACCGAGGCGTGAGGCCTTAGCCCCTCTCCACTGTGTACCTCCTAAATGGCTTTCCAAAGAGAATGTGTTTTTATTCCAGGGAACAGGGTTGCCAACAGCACTGACCTTGCATGCGCCTTTCCTCTGAGCTGCCAGGAAGGAATTTCCCTTGGGGTCTGGCTCCTGAGCAGCAAGCCCCCTGGCAGGCAGCTTCAGGAAGTGGAGGAGAAGGAAGTGGGAGGCCACCTCGCCTTTCACTTAGCCCAGGCAGATAAAATCTCTCCCTGAAGTTGGCGCGTTCGACCAGGGACTTGGGAGTGGGGTGTTTACTGTACAGGGTGTGATGTTATTCCTGGCTTCCCATCAGGTTATAGTGCTAAGCACCAAAGAATCAAAAATTCAAAGATGTACAAAATTTGGACATTAACAACGTTGGCATCAGAAGGATTTAGGATGGAGTCTGGGCAGGGCATTGCCATGGGGACGTGGGTCTTACTGTGGATGAACTTTGAGCCTTAGAACAGGGTTGACATTTGTGTGAGAGAACGGACATCCTGATGCCAAGTCTGTTGACCAGTGCAGGGCTTGGGCTGTGAGCCATGGGTGCAGCCACTTCCCTGTGTGGAGAGGGACGGTGACAACAGAGGCTTTGCTCAAAGGGGCTCCTCCGTCTTTGATGTTCCAGTGGCATTGGCCATCACTGTCCTCGAGGCCCCCCCCCCTTCAGGTGTATGATGTCCTGGAAGGAAGCAGAGGGGGAGGGCGGACAACAAGTGAGGCTCCTGGGAGGTGATTCCAGCCTCTGGTGCAAGAAACCAGCTACTGAGAGCAGAAGGCCCTTTGGGAAAGCAACA